ATCTTTCTCCCTGTCTACCGTTCCAATTTTCTCTTCCACTCCATAAATATCTCTAGGACTTTACTCTTCTGCTTCATGGTGTACACCCAATAACATCTAGAATAGTCATCTACAAACATGACGAATTAATATCGATCAACAAGTAACACCGTCTTGATGGGACCCCATACATTAGTGTGCATGTAGTCTAAGATGCCGGTTGTCCTATGAATGTCTGTCCCGAACTTCACTTTAGTCTTCTTGCTAAGAATACAGTGCTCACAGAATTTAATTTTCCCACTCTTGGCTCCTTTCAATAATCCATGCTTGCACAATGCCTGCAATGATTTTTCCCCTGCATGCCCAAGTCTGAAGTGCCAAAGTCTGCTTGCATCTGCCTCTGAAACTGCTGAAGCTACCTGACTAATCTCGGTACTTCCCTTCAGATAATAGATATTTCTGTTGCGGACCGCTTTCATCACCACCAATGATCCTTTAGTAACTTTGACTATAACATTCTCGAAAGTTACATTGAATCCTTTTGCCTCCAAGCTCCAACAGAAATAAGATTCTTCTTCAGCTGAGGAACAAACATTCATTCAATTCTTTAACAACTCCATCGTGTATCCGAATCCTGACGGTACCTATCCCACAAATGCCACATGATTGATTGTTTTTCATGACCACCACACCACCATTGAGTTTCTCAAAAGATTCAAACCAATCTCTCCGGGAAGTCACATGATAAGTAGCACCAGAATCCATCATCCAATCCGATGCTTCCGCATGGTTAATTTTTGGAGTAATCAATAGTGAAAAGCATGAATCATCAGAATCGTTACCGCTCTTAGCAACATTCACCTCACTGGCCTTCGAGCATTTTTTCTTGCTATTCTCCTTCTCTCTTAGCTTCGGACAATCTCTCTTCCAATATCCTTGTTCTCTGTAGAAAGAACACCAATTTTTCATAATTTGGTAGTGGCCTCTTGACTTTGACCTGCCTCGATTACCACCTCTAAGATAGGGACTCCTTCCTATTGTCGACAAGACTTCTTCTGAAGTACTAGTTCTGGAAGACTCTTTATCCTTTCTCCTCAAATTGAAATTTATCAGTGCATTAGTCACTTTACTATAGGTGATGGAAGATCTACCATTCAACAAAGTAAGCACAAAAGTATCAAAATCCTCATCGGGTAATGAGCCTAAAAAAATGATCGCCTTGTACTCATCCGATATCTTCCCGTTAACATTGGCCAAGTCCGACAACAACTTTGAATAGTTATTCACATGATCTACAAGTGAGGTACCTCTAGACATCTGGAATCTGAATAATCTCCACAGCAAGTGCAACCAGTTCTCAACATTCTTCGTAAGATACTTATATTAAAAATCTCTCACATTTTCGAATCAGCCTTGCTACTTTCACCATTTTCTCCTGCCATTGCTTACTAACTCTAAATTATAAAGGAAAGATTCGAAATTGATAGATTTGAGAAATTATTCAAAATTAAACCCTAGATAGGATTACAAAACAATCTCCCAACCACACGAGGAAGACAATATCTTCAATGGCAACTCCGCAACGTTATATCCATCGAAACTTAGATCTCCAAGATCCAACTTCCAACATCGATTTTCCCCCACCCAAATCAAACCCTAGATCTGAAATCCGGCTATGATATCACTTGTTACGTTCAGCGGAAGCAGAATCAACTTACAACAAGTCGGTAAGCAACGAGCAAAGAATACCACAAACACAATTCATAATGAAACGACCAAAATCAACGCAAACACAGAGAATTACGTGGTTCGGCAAATTGCTTACGTACATGGGGAGAGGATGGGGAGATTTCACTATATGAATGAGAAATATAATGGATTACAACTCTCAAACAATCACAATAACCCTAATCAACAAGATCTCACTCCCTCTCAATAATCTCTCTCCACAAAATAACCTCTTTTTTTCTAATTAAAAATCCTAACAAACGAGTTTCTATTTATGTAAACACTCAAATCCAAAACAGTCTAGGAAACAAATCAGCCTAATAACCCGCTATCGGTCAATTAATAAAGCCTCATCAGTCGACCGGTAGGTGTTCATCGGTCGACCGACAAGGCATCATCAATCGTCTGTCCAATGAAAATTTTCAGTTCATGTAATGTGCAAGTTATCGGTCGACTGATCTAAGAAATCAGTTGACCGACCAGAGCTATTTTGCCAGCTTTAATTTTTTTCCTGTATTCGCACCCTCTTGCAACATGTGTGTGTGCAACATGTGTGTGTGTGTGTGTATATATATATATATATATTATATTAAAGTCATAGTTTTCATCGTGAATATAGGCTGAGACAACCAGACCCATGTCTAATGAGTTTTAAAACATAGACATAAAGTGTATGATATACGTCCAAGAAGTGCATAACAAGTATTTTAAATTAAAACATATATTGTATAATTGAGCGCCTGTCTGGGTAAATGTATCAATACATCTAAGGTGTGTTTATGAAGTTTGGGTACAAATAAATGCCGGGTACGTGTACGGCTTCATGCTGGAAATATCTAGGTAACATAATGCATATCTCATATCACATCTTTGTTTAAATCCCTCAAATAAAAGTTGTTTCATGCTCTATCAATGATTAGAACACTAACAAGACGATTAAACCAAAAAGCCTTATCCTAATTGTGAATCACCCTTCACCACTAATTTTTTATCAAGAGAAACATCTTCTGCATTCTTTCTATATAATTTTAATTTGGGCCTCTAATTACTTAACAAATGGAGTCGAGTTTGTAGTTGTACTTTTTGATTCTCGTCTCCTTGCCTTCACTAAGTGAACGCACTAAGTCAGGTAGTCAAATCTAAAGAAACCAAAGTGATAAAGATACGGGTATAGGCGCAGATACAAACGTACATAGCATTGCAAAGAGACAAGGCCATGCAATCTTGTAACCAGCTTAAGATCTGATCAGGTCCATGCCTCATCGTGTCTTTGTCTTGACATGCTTTTGGCTAAACCTACGGACTCAAGTAGTTTTAAATTTTTTTCCCCTTGGGTTTCAGTTGGGTACGCTACATTAACATGTAGTATATGTTTTTTTGCGAACAGATAGTCACAATTAGATTGTATTAAGAGCGTTTTCCATCCATTTAGTTTTAGCGTCTGGCTGTCAGTTTGGTCTAGTAAATATATGAGGTGAGATTATGTCCTATGTTAAAAGAATAGGTTACATATATAGTTGAATGTGATTAGACTCATTGTTTAGTTAAAAATTAATCCTTTTCAGTCAATTTAAATCCGGATATATTAGCATGTTCTACCTGCGTTGATGTGTCTTTGCGGTCTTCAACGATTCAGTATGAGAGCTCATGGCTGTGAATTTTTAGGTGCTTTGTTTGCTTCGGACGATTAGCAAGGGGTCAGGGCTCAAGGTGGAGTGCATACATGACCATCACACTTGCATCTGGTATCACGCTATTTATTTGTTGGGTTATTTAGATATTAGTCCCTCAAATCTTCAATAATTCCATATTAGTTCCTCAAATCTCAATAGTTGCTCATTAGTCCCTCGAATCGTGAGGGGTCTTGCAATTTTGTCCCTCAATGGCCAAAATACTGGTTATGATTTCTCTTTTAAAACCCATCATCAGTATAAAGTTTACACTTTTTTAACTTTAATACAACTTTTTTGACATTTTGATACCTTAAAGCTGACACCCTTTTTAACTCTAATACCTAAAAGTTTTTTTTTTGTCTTACAATTTTGTTATGACAAAATTTATATGTTTTTCACTTTGATACTCCAAAGTCTTGTTTTTGACACATTGATACCCCAAACTTTAGGCTATCAAAGCTAGAAAATGTGCAAACTTTGATGTATCAAAGTTAAAAAGTATGGAATCTTTGGGGGGTATGAAAGTTAAAAATATGTAAGATTTGGGGTATCAAAGCGTCAAAAAAATCAGGGCATCAAAATTTAAAAAAAAGATGCAAACTTTGACTATCAAAGTGTCAAAAATACTTTGGGTATCAAAGTTTAAAAAGGTGTAAACTTTAGAGTGCCAAATTGCAAACAACCCTTCAAAAAACATTAACTGAGGGTATTTTGGTATTGAGGGACCAAATTGCAATATCACAATGATTTGAGGGACTAATGAGCAGTTTCATAGATTTGAGGGACTAACATATAAATAACCCATATTTGTTAGGTATAAAGTTACTTATGTGTGGGTACATGACTTAATTAGGAGTTAATTCTTTTGAGTCTATTTGAATCCAAATATATTAGTCTAGTTCTTTGGTTCCTAGGCATTTGCACACCAATCTAGAAGGCCATTTTGATCTTCATTATCTAAAATATAGGTGTATACTAGAAGTTGTGATCTCCATAAGGTTCTGTGGTGGATATTCTATTTATATGTACAGGTCAAAAATTTAAGAGATTTGATCCATAAGCATTTAAAGATTACAGATAGAGATAAATAAGTTTCCTGCATGCACACTAATAAACGCTCAAGATTTTATTGCTAAACATGCTGCTACATAACACTGAACATAAAAGTATTCTCTCTCCCCCCCCCCCCCCCCCCCCTCACTTGCAGTAAGAAGCTATAAACAAATTCTAAACTAATCATGAAGCTCATATTGAATGAAGATTAATGGCAATAGTAGTACTGGCATCACCAATCATCCCTGCTCTTCATCCATCTTCCAACGTCCTGCACACCAACTCATATTGTTTCATCGACCCTTGTTGTCCCACAAGCACAGGCTAAATTCCTCTTGTGTTCTCATTTCCTTTGGCTGACATCAACCCGCCCAGAGGTTCAGCTCTTCCTATATCTGCAATATTTGCTCAGGAAGCTTTTCATCGCTGTGTCCTTGAAATTTTGTATACATGTAAGAAGCCATTGGATAACGCGAATGTGACATCCTAGTGATGTGGCGCTTGTAATCCAATATAATCAAAGCATATATAATACAAAAACATAAGCTTTTGTAATTGATTTTCAAGTTAATTTTTCTGGGAAATTAGCCCGGACACATATATGTCCTTGGTGAAAGAGCCGTAGATAGACGCAATCAAGTTGGCGCTCAGGGTGAGGAAGAATGAAAGGAAGAAGGGCATAAACTCCACGCTTTTTGTGCGTACAACGATTCTCTGTTTACATAAAAGTTTAAGCTTGTTACAGATTATGAAAATAGACAATATACAATTATATCCGAAGAACAATGTCATAGAGTATAACCAAGTCTTAGTGGGAATACCACAAAATAGATGCTCTTTATGCGCATATATAGACAACTACATGTATGGTACTTCATCTTTTCTATCACTTACCATGTATGCTATATAAGTTGTTTGCTAATATACTACTTGCAAAAAAAAAAAAGGAAACATGTATACGATTGTAGGCAAAAGGTCTCAAACATGTAAAATGGCATCTCTAGGATATCGAAGTAACTTTAAGGCATCAGAAATTGATAAACTGAGCAAGAGCCCAAACCGAGTTTGTGGTGCTTACAATAATACTCAAGGGAGCTGCAAAGACACTGACTGAGAAAGTCATGTTGAACCAACCAACAACCTTTACACGGTCAGCTCCCTTGAAGCATAGGAGACTGATGAGAAGGATTATAGAGAACAAAACAACGTTCAAGAGGAACAACCATTTGATTGTGTTCATCTGCGTAGCAAATTAAAGCCTTTTTAGACAAAGTATATTATAAAACTATCTACTACGTTCGTAGGCTTAACAAATAATTCATCTTACTTTGGCCTTCTTTGGGGCATAAATGAGATAAATAGTCAGGTATGTTATCTCAATGATGCATCCAACCGTGTTAATAGTGATAAGAAGGTAAGTATTGGTCTTAATGATGGCATAGTAGATCAGTTGCATTGCACTGAACAATGCCACCACATAAGGAAATGATTGGAATCCTTCTGTAGATTTCTTTCTGCAAATTCGACGAAATGTTGGCCTGAAATCACAAGGATCATGACTTTAGAAGTTCTATCCCTTTAAAAATTTGAAGTAAAAATGCAGACATGAATTAGATGGGTGGGAGTAGTTCTTACACCGGGGCAACGTAGACCATGAAGGAGAGGATGTTGCCTTAATCATGCATCAACAAGGAAAAAATGTCAGTGATTGGTAAACAGAAAACCGTCATATTCAATAAAAGCATACATGGAGTAATATAAGACAGTTATCCATATAATCAATACTTTTATGTTCAATGTATAAAAGGAAACTATACTCTTACTGCTGTATAGTTTTAGGTAACCAACTTCTTGCGAGGCAACTGGCCAAAATTTCCAAATAAACTTTCTTTTTACAAAGAAAATTGTTTAATAAATTGTGTAAAAAAGAATGACCATGATTATCCTATAGAGGACATTTTAGAATACTACTAACCTATAACATCATCACGGAATGTGTTGGATATTAAGAAATTCAGATAAAAGAAGAGAATTACCTCGAGTTGAATTTAGCCAAAGCAGAAAATGACAGCAAATAAAGAAGGAGAAATCTATGAAAACAATCGATTTTTTTCCTAACAGTCTCCTTACCCAGGAGACCGAAGATGAAGGCCCAGGGGTGGTCGAAGGACAAAAACGCCATCTCTGCTTCGATCCAGGAAGAGAGAGAAAGAGTTTGAGAAGAAGAAACAAGCTTCGAGAGAGAGAGAGAGCTTATCCTCCTTACTCAACAACTCTCTTTGGCTAGTTTTGTGCTTCTTATGTTTGGAGAGGGATAGGTTTATATAGGGAGGTGTGGGTAGCATGAGCTAACATTCTTTCCTCTGCGCTGCATGGATTAGGTCATTCCTCCACCAGCTTAAGGATAATATACATTTATGTACAAGAAAAAGCCAGGGTTTGGTTAATCTTCATTATGGAGCATTCGCTTTTTCTAGTATATGCATGGTAAAAGTTAATCATACAGACACGAAATTCCTTAGGCGTCCCTCATTGATTTTAATTAATTATAAACAAAAGATCAAGACACAAGAAAATGTTTGATTTGTTGTTTCATATTATGGCAAATCACCTAATTTGAGAAAGATTAAAATGGAATGAACTTTTAGCTAGCTAACCTTCTGGGAAAACACAAAACTGTTTACGGATTAGCAAAGCTGATGATTGATCATTCAACATAATCATGTGACTTAGAAAGTAGTTACATATATTAATTAACTCAATTATCATGTCGGTAGATATATTTCACTAAGCAATGTGAAACTACATACGCAACTGCAAGCTATCTAGGATAATGAAACGTGCATCAACACTACAAACTCCCAAACAAACTTCTTATAATTATCTAATCCTTGTATGTATGTGATCCACACATATGAGCAATGTATGGATCAATGGTACTTTATGATCCACTCCAGAGAATAGAGTAGGAAAAAATGTATCTAGGATGATTCTCTTGGACTGAATGTATAATTTCTTGATACAAAAGTGGAAACTTCAACGTGCCAGCTTATACCCGTTCCTAAGACTCTCTGAGCCTTTTTCTAAAGGTGTTAGCCTTGGCCAGTGCTTTAAATGAAGTAGAGTTATTATAAGCAAAAGGAAAAGCTTTCTCCTATGTATGGGAATTGTTATAAGAAGAAAAAAAAAAAGAGACTAGTTTAGGCTTGTGTAATGTTGTCCTCTGTTGATCTCAGGCCATCTGTGTGATTACAAACAGTTTTGATCAAAAGCCTACAGCACTCACTCGTCTAATTTAGTCGGGGATAAGCTTAGGATGAGATCATAGGACGCTGACAGAAATGAAAAGAAGAATAGTGGCGTCAAGCTTCCTACAGGTTTATGTTTGGCTGCAAAGGTTTATGAAAAAAGTTCATACAGGTTTATGTTTGGCTGCAAAGGTTTATGTTTGGCTGCAAAGGTTTATGAAAGAAGTTCAACTAGCCAATGAATCAGCGGGTTAGGATTGAAGGTGTAGATTGTCTTGATTAGTAAATAAATCCGGTTCATCCGCAATATCAGCGATTTTCTTGTTTAAGAGAGGCCATAGAACGTGCCTAGCTCTTTGCCTTATTTTGCTTCGTGACATTATCTGCGTCTCTCATTTAACCGGTGCTCCCTTTTCCTTTCTTTATCTGTCTTCTCTTTGCTAAGCCTTTCATGATATTAGGTCCACACTGTTTCAGTCCACTGATACAGATTTTTTCACTTAATCAAAGCTATACATCCCTATCTACATCCAAAATTTTAAACCTAGGAAATCTTAAGTGAAGTCCATGCAACTTAATTAATTGCTTAGCCGTTCATTATGTATATAAGGGTCACCTTGTTAAAGTCCACTAAGACAAATTATCTTGTCTAATCAATGTATTCAGTATCCAAGTTCAATCTCGAAGTGCCTTAAAAAATAGTTCCACATTAAAAAATATTTAGAGAAAACAATAGACTTAAATAGAAAAGTTAAGCCATTAGCTAGTACTTTAAGCTTTTGAATTAATTTGATTAAGGGTGCCGTTTAAAACCTACTTGACTTTAGTAGTGTGTTTGGATCATTGGATGGAGGGTAGGAGAGGGTAGGGGAAGAGAATGGGGAGTTTTTTTTTACAAGGGTGATATATAAGGGAAGGAAGGGGAAATTCACATAAAAATATGGTCATTTTATTCCCCGCCCACCCCCTCCCCCTCTCCAAGCAACAAGAAAAAAAAGTTGTAAAGGAGGGAAATGGAGGGAAAATAGTTATAAAAAAAGTTTGATCGTTTATCACTATGGACCAATGACTGAGATTTGATTATAACACATTTTCGTTCCCTTCCCTTCCCTTAGCCTTCCCTTAGCCTTTGTTTGGGAGTTCACTAAGGGAAGGAAAGGAAAGGTAAGATACATAAAGGAAATGTAAGGAGAGGAAGGAAAATAAAATATCTTGTTTGAGAGTTTTGCAAGGAGAATGGAGGAGAACTTAAATTATGTTGTTTTGAAGTTCTAATTATGGGAAAGGAATGGAAGTAAATGAATTTTAGCCATTGATTCATTATAATAGAGGGTCATTATAATAGAGGGTCAAGATATCTCTTTCATTATGAAATTTTATTTTCCTTCCCTTTCCCTCCGTTACCGTCCAATTTAGGGGTGAATGAAATCAAGTTTTTTATGAAAATTCTCCTTCCTTTCCCCTCTTTACTCTCCCAATAAAACTCCCAAACGAAATTAAACTTAAAATTCTCTTTCTTTCCCATCCGGCCAGGCGTAACATTAAAACTCCCAAACATGGTAAAACAAGTTTTCTCCATTCCTTTCACTAAACTCTCAAACAAGATATTATATTTTCCCCTCCACTTCTCAATCTTCCCTTTCCATATTTTATTTTCCCTTCCCTTTCCTTAATGAACTCCTAAACACACCGCTAAACAACTATGAAGCCACCTGAAGAGTCCAAGGCCATAAAATTCGGAGGGATTTTTTTATTTGTCAATCCAAAATTTTACCTAACTCACCTCCAAAATCATTCTTAAACCTGATATATGTAGACTAAATTATTTTTGAATCCAACTACACCATCTCAAACCCAAATATATCTATTGGTGCACCAAATATAGCGAGTTAGTGTTGAGGTTAATCTATCGACAACTCGTGCCCTCCGAATCTTGTGAGGAACAAATAGTAAGGAAGAAATCACAGCAAAATGAAAAACTTTACAGGAAAGAACAAATAAAAGGAGAGAACACAAGATTTAACGAGGTTCTACAAACGTGCCTACGTCCTCGGGAGCCACACTAGAAATTCTTTGATTATTGAAGAATATTACAATGCCTGCAAACGGCTATCACTCTTTCTGAGATCTCACTCTCAAAGTGTTATCAAAACCCTTTCTTTTTCGTGTACTAACTCTCAAAAGAATGTTCAAGAATATATAAAACCCTAACTCGAAACAGATTCCCAAACGGGCCAGAAAACTGCTTGACCCGATATCGGTCGACTAATGCACTTGCATCGGTCGATTGATAACGGATTTCTAGCAGCTTCGTACACGGTATCAGTCGACTGATAAGTTCCCATCAGTCGACTTACTAGAGCGAATTTCAGGCTCATTTTCCTACAGTCGAATCGGTCGACCGGTGCTCCTCTATCAGTCGATTGATCGGGGTTTTTCTGTTGCTTGTAGATTTTGTTCCCAGGTTTCGGTCTACACATCTAAAACCAACAATCTCCCACTTGGAGACTAAACCTCCATCAACAAGATCTCTTGAACTTTAGCCATCTTCGCAGGCACCTTCTCCTACCCGGAAAAGTTTCTTTCTTCGATCAATATCATCCTTGGTGATCTCACCCGTCCTTCTATTGTGGCTCCACCATCATTTCCTACGTATGAAGGCCAACTGAAGTTGCGCACAACTCCAGTTTCTCAATGATCATTGTCTTTTTCAACATATCTGTAGGATTTTGACTCCTCAAAATTTTCTCTAACAGTTACTTCTCGTCCTCTATCAGCGAGCGTATGAAGTGGTAACACATGTCGATGTGATTTGTTTTGGCATGATAAACTGGGTTCTTGGCAAGGTGTATAACACTCTGGCTATCACAATAAAGAATCATATTCCCCCGTTTCAGACCCAACTCTTTTAGACATCCGGTCAACCAAATTATCTCCTTGCTAGCTTCAGTCACTACGACATACTCTACCTCAGTCGTGGACAACGTCATTATCTTCTTCAAACGTGAGACTCAGGTCACTACTGTCGACCCTAAGGTAAAAATATATCCTGTGGTACTTCGCCTTGTATCATAATCACCAGCAAAGTCTACATCCACATATCTCTGCATTACCAATTCTTTTCTCCTAAAACACAATGACATATCTGTAGTCCCTCTAAAGTATCTCAGTATCCACTTTACAGCCTCCCAATGCTGCTTCTCTAGATTTCTAAAAAATCTGCTCACAACTCCCACTTCATGGGGGATATCCGGTCTCGTGCAAGCCATCACATACATAAGACTACCAATGACTAATGAGTATGATACTATGGTCATGAACTCCTTCTCTGCATCCGTCTTGGGCGATTACTCCTCAGATAACCTGAACTGACTTCCAAGGGGCATGCCAACGGTCTTTGCATTCTGCATGTTGAATCTATAAAGTACTTTCTCAATGTATTCAGCCTGACTCAACTTTAACGTCTCTTCAGCCATATATTGACTGATTCATATCCTAAGAATTTTCTTGGCTGCACCCAAATCCTTCATAGCAAACTCCTTTGCCAACTGCTTCTTCAACTTGTTAATCTCCTGTAAACATGGCCCTGCAACTAACATGTCATCTACGTAAATAATAACATGTATAGCTAGACTCGAACCTCTTAAAGTAGCAGTAATGATCTGAATTGCACATTCCATAGCCATTGCTCTACATGAAGTTATCAAACTTCCTATACCACTATCTTGGAGCCTGTTTCAAACCGTATAAGCTCTTCTTGAGCATACATACCATATCTTCCTTTCCTTCCTCTATGAAACCAACATGTTTCATCATGTAGATTTATTCATCCAAGTCACCATAAAGAAAGATAGTCTTCACATCTAATTGCTCAAGGTAGAGATTTTTAGCAGCTACTAAGTTCAACACCACCTTGATGGTTGCAAGCTTCACGACGGGGAAAAATATCTTTGTATAATCCACCCCTTCCCTATGTTGGAATCCTTTCACAATTAATCTGGTCTTGTATCTTTTGCTACC